TGGATTCGGTGGTAAAATATGATCTGACTGCTGGTGACAAGCGCACGGGCTGTCAGCAAGCTATGATTAGCATAAATTACTTCATCACATACGCTGGCCTTGCTCGCGTAAATCACAAAAAGTGTATGCAAGATATTAGTCATCTTTACAGTGTCAGTGTAAGATTTTCCCAGTATTTAAGAGCATATTGGAGAGAAAACAGTGAAATTGAATCATGCCACCTGTGAGCTGAGGTTCACTGGTTATGACTGGGGGGAGCAGGGATTCAACAGGCGCTGTCAGCGGGTCTCCGCCACACAGATACATGCTATGTGAAGATGCTGCACCCTTCAGCTCCATCACACACACTTTACTCTGAGAGACAGAAATGGCACAGGGTTAAGGTTGTTATATCATCAAGACCAGAGAGGACGTCCAGGCTGCAGTAAGGACATCTAAATAATATGAATGCATTAGGAACAGTGTTTTAACCTTGGCCAAGCGATCAGTTTTTATAAGCAGTGATTGAGGACAAGGACAGGGTGAGAGCACGCATGCATTCACAGCTGAAAGCGCGTGTAAATCTGTACACGTGTGCGCCCCTCTGACCTTATTCATGAGCTCTATGGTGAGTTTGTCAGAGTAGTTGACAGACGGGTGGTCAGGCTGAAAAGTGACCGTGAATTCTTGGCTCTGCCCTGGAGGAATGCTGCCCTCTACTGGCACCACACTGAACACACTCAACCCACTGTAGTTCTGAGTCCCTGCACAAGTCAGAAAACACGTTGCTTGGTCAGTATGAAAGAATTGAACTGTTGGAGCACATTACCCTCCTGTTTTTTTAAGCAAATATTCTGACATTTACAGCATTATTACAGTTTTATATGTGTTTGTCTGTCAGTGGGATTATGCAAAAACTGCTAGGTTTAATTTATGAAACTGTAGAAATTTAAACTATTGGGCTATTTGGTGCACACTTGTGCTCTCTTATACAATACTTCTAGTAGGTAATACTGTATTAAAGTTCAGGTCAAGTTTAGTAGTATGTGTAGTCAAATAAATTCACGTCTACATGAGCAGTGAAATACGGACAAAGTGTTAAAAATACAAGCTGCAATCTGTTTTCACTTCTGGAGCTCCAAACAAATCTTACCCACAGCAGGGTGGACATGGGAGTTTGCATATCTGTCTAGCAGAAAGGCCACCCGGTCAGCTCCACCCTGAGGTCTGAAGGGAGAGAGACTAGCGAGCATCACCCTGAAGCTCACTGGCACCGCTGAGCTGTTCTGCAACTGCAGGGAGAACGAGATTTAATGCCAGTGACCGAGGCTGTTTTTCCCTCATTACTCTGTAGTCTAAAAATATCTTGCATGGTGCTGCCTTTGTTTTTCTTAATGGTGACGTGATGATGAAAATAAAATAGTCCAACAAATACGGGAACAATCTGAGAGGAAGTGAAGTGCAAAGAAGGGATGGGAGACCAAGAGAAAAAGGAGGTACAGGAGGGTTAAGGAGAGATCTATATGGAACGACCCATTTGAAAGAGAAATAGAAAACACCCAACACGTATTTAGCATCAGCTTTAGCTGTGAGTGTTTTCA